TTGATTAAATTATATTGTAGTTTGCTCTACTATAGGTTCTTGGATTCTTATAATTTATTTTCACGCATTATGCGAACTTACGTGTCTTTGCTATTCTTAACTGGGATATAGATATGTTAATAATATCCATGTATTGTATTACTACAGTAAATTCTGTAACAGAATTTTTTTACAGTAATTCATGATAGAAATCACGATAATTCCAATACAAAATTAATATGTTCTTGACTATATACTATGTCTCACTGAAGTAGCGAATTTTTTAACAGGATCTTTTACTACAACTCATAATGAAATTTACGATAAACTAACTCATCACATTTTTGATTACTGGGATGGGTATTGTAATTGAATTTCTTTAGTAATTCATAAAAATTCATAAAAATTACGATAATTCTAATAGCAAGTTTCATTTTAGCTCATAGTAGAAGTCACGATAATTCTGATACAAACTAACTTGACCTTAACTACACATTATGCCTGATTAGAATAACAAATCCTGTAACAAATAAGATTATTTACAGAAACTCTTGATACTATAGAAGTAACCAACCATGAATTGTATTTTGTTGGTTTTTTTTGTATTATATAAACAAGTGAGAATCTATACAGTAGCATATAAAAGGCTAATGATCAATTGTTAAATTTGAGATATTTAACCAAATTACAATAACAGATATAGTATTTTGATTTAAAAGTTTATAAATATTGATATTATTAGAATGGTGCTAGTCGTCTATACCATACTGATCTTTTGTACTCTCGTTTATTAAAATAATTATACATTATTATAAAAAATCTTTCTTAATATATTAAGGTCAATTGGACTTATAAAGTCCAATCCAATTTATTAGCCCTTTTAGACTTATGTCCAATTAGCCATGTCCAATTGGACATGTCCATTCAAATGCTAATGTCTTGGAGCGGTGATAAAATGAAATCAGGTTTTTGATCATAATCAGTCACTGGGATATCTTTATCTCTTAATATTTGACTATCTAAGGCAAGTGCCACTAAATATGATAAATAATATTTATGTAAGCATTATAGTGTGTTAAGAATTTACAAAAAAATATTCCGTATATTACCAATTAACCCTCCAAATTTTGGAACTGAAAAATTTGGTAGAGGGTTTTACTAATAAATTATGCCCTGAATATAAGCAATAGGGTTGTCCTATATGCCATACCACTCCAGGACAAGGCTGTCACTTTTACTATGTCCAGTGGCTAAAGGCACTGGACTGGACCATATTGGATTACTATGTCCAGTAGTCCAGTGGCGCAGCACTGGAATATGTCCAGTGTAGTCCAGTGACAGCTCTGCTCCAGGATATTATAAAAAGGTAAATGATGCAGTTTATACCAGTGTTACTATCACTACTCCAGATTAGAAGTTTGTACTAGCTCAGTATATAATCTTAGCAAATAGTATGCATTATTAGTGGTGTGAGCGCAATGCCATAATTGGTCTCGATTATACACGTCACTCTGGGTATACTGACATCTGGATATAACGACATATAGTAAAATCTTTCTATACCGACATTTTTCAAAATTTCAATATAAAATGTCGGTATAACTCACTATATCGACATTTTGAATTTTATTAATAATGTATCAAAAATATCGATATAACCAGAGTGACGTTTATTGTGATCCAGTAATTCAAATTGATACAATTCGATTCGTCTCGATGAGACGAATCGAATGGTATCAAAATCATCCAATTTGGATTACTGGGTCACAAAGTATTCGCAAATAACGATTCAATGAATTACGGCAAAAATGCCGTAATCCAGCCGTAATTCATTAAATAGTATTTCGTGAATATCAAATTATCCAATTTGGATTACTGGATCATGATATAATTGAGTTTTTGTAAAAAAAAAAGACCAACTACGGCATTGCGCTCACTCCACTATGCATTACAGTTTAATCTAGAGTAGTATATTCCTAGTATAAGCTATAGAGTTTAATTTGGAGTAGTGACTCTGGTGTGGTGTGGTGTGGTCTTAAAGGGCTATTCTGGTAGAGTCTACATCATACCATCCTTGGTCTATAGTTGACATCGAAATTAATTCACAAGATGCAATTCCGCATTAATTGTCGATAAACAATATATAAATGCGGGAATACTGCAGCATGCCGCAATTCAGTAATTTTGAAGCCAACTACACTATGGATCACTCCATCAATAGCCCTAAAATGACACCACTTTAGATCAAAAAAATCACAATTATTTAGTTGTTTTTTTTTTGGTAATATACGTATATAAACTTACTGGTTAGCGGTGGTTTACTCCATTGTCGGCATTTCGTCAAATATTTATCATAATAACTACATTCACATAAATGCAAAACAAAATTTAAATAAACTGGTTTAATCCACCAAAAATCAATCTGTAAAACTCTCACCCTTTGCCGTGACCAAGTCTATTTCTATTAAGATCAAATGCAAGTCCTATTTAATTTTTTTTTTAAAAAAAAAATCAGGTTCCTAAAGTCTTCTTTTTTTTTTAAAAAAAAAAAAAAAATTTAAATGAAATATTTATTACCAGGCATTATAATCAAATCCAATTGAGTTGCTGTAATAATTATAAATATAATTAATTTAAATTGGCTTTTGAAAGAAGCAATTTCCTGAATATCATAAATTTATGGAGGCTACCGATATCTCGATTTTGATCATGATCTGGTTCTGGAATATTCCACTTATTAATTTTAAGTGATGTATAATCTTTTAGAGACTCAAGTTTGACCATTTCCATACTATCTCCATCCCAACGCGGAACATAACATATTTTCCCTAAAAAATTAATTGATTTATCATCATACGTGAGAGATGTAAATATTAAAAAAAGTAGTAATTATGATACCTTTACTAAATATATCATGAATTATAGATTTTGTTGAAATTTCGGCCTTTGGCATACTAAGATACACACTTATATGTGTGCTTGACAGATATTCTTGTGAAGAAATTACCTTTTCTACTACGATAGCGCCTATGTAAAAAATGGGTAGACAACAGCTATTATTAAAAGCTAAATTGGCCTCGTTTAGGAAACAGGGCACTGAGGTTTTTTAGGCATCCCTAAGAGGCATGCCTTAGTTAAAACATTTGCGTATGTAAAAGTCAACACAAAAATTTTAGGGACATGCCTTATAGGCAATGTCCCTAAATTAGAAAAACCGAAGGTATGCCCTTTTGGGCTAAAACCGTGTCTTGAATCCTGGGCTCACTAAACGGCTGTGAACTTACTTTCTTCTTCAATTTTCTCGAGGGGAATCTGGTTGAGAAGGCTGCCCATTTCTTTGCGCAAAGTTTTTTTTAGGGCTCTTACTGGTTGACCCATAATAACACATGTATGTTTCGGAAAGGTAGTTAGCCCCTACTTCTGTACTTTTATAAACAATAATTCTAAGTAAAATTCATAATTTGATTGGTCCTTAAATTAATTGAGAAAAACGACTAGAACGATCTACAGAGCTTTGATTGGCTCATGATAATCTTTGAAGCCCACTTTCCAAAAAATTAATTTACCAAATTACGCCGAGTTTTACAAAAGATAAAGTCACGTAAGATTGTTTATATAAATAATGGATAAAAAGGGAACGTATAAATCGGGGAAACTCATAACAGCTAAAAAGTTGAATTGACTGGATCAGGGTCACTTTATGTTAGGGTTAGGTGTTTTTATATACCGGGTGTTTTCAAAAGTCCCTATATCGGTCCCTATTTTCAGATCATCGTAATCCCCGGTAGGTAAAGTTTCTTCCAACATTTTTTATTAATGCCCCCGAGACTGCCGGTGTTTATACTTTTCACTTTTTTCTTGTTTTACTTCGTTGGGTTTATCAAATTTTCTATAACTTCAGGGACTTAATTGCCAATAATCGCGTGGTTTACCTCCGCTTTGGACGACACCTAAACATAACATTAATTTTACGAAGTGTAAAATGACGCGTAACATAGACCTTGTTCTTGTTTACATATCGATATGATCACGCAATAGCTTATTTTATGTGATTTTGCACATGAGCCGTGAACAAACACGTAGTGCACGTATACTTGCTATTTATAAAAAATTAAATCAAAAAAAATAATTCAACTCTCTCTAAGCGCAAGTCATTGGGCCAGCAAAATATTTGCATTTAGAGAGAACTTGCAATTAAAGAAAATCAAATTAATATATAGTTTGTTCTCTCTAAATGCAAGTTAATGGTTAAAAAAAAATCTTGCACTTTGAAAAAAAACCTTTAATTAAATAAGTCAATTTAGTTGGATCTTGCAATTAGAGAAAATAATTTTATATATGCTGATTAAAAAAAATCTTGCACTTACAGAATAAAGAACTTGCACTTAGAGGGAGTTGACTGTATATTATACATAATTATAAAAATATACTATTTTTTAAATGAAGATCGTTAATAAAGTTTTGAGCTATTAATTTGGCCAGAATTGGGATTTGGGCGGCAAGTATAGGTGCGCGCAAAAATTTCCTTTTATTCAAAGAAGGAGGTAATTTATCACAATAACATTATTTATAAACTAACTTTAATCAAGAAATCCAATGCGAATGGCAGCAAGATGAATGTCTAGTGACATTGAAGAGAACGCTAGTGCTGAAGCTTTGAGAGAATAACATCTAAATTAAGGTGAGAAACAGCGAAACTTCTGAAGAAACAGTAATGCAATTAGAGAAAAGACAAAATGATATAGCACGACAAAGAGAAAATCAGACAATTAGTGCTCTAAAAGCATGAACTTATTCATGGACTTAACGTGAAGCCATCTATGAACATTTTAACTGCAAAGCTAAATTATACTGTGAAACGTGATATTGTTCTAAAGCTATGTAAAGATGGTTGCAGCGAACATCAGAGATACGGTGCTTATTGTGTTTATTGTGTGAAATTGAATAATTGATGTTTCAGCCATCAAGGAAATTGATCCTATTGTTAAACAGTGCATCTATGATCTTCGAAAGATACTGTATGATGGTCATATCATTTATTGACTTTGATCAGAACTTCATAACCCAATCGAATATACTTTTATTTAAATAGATTTATTAAAAAACAAAATATCTAAATTTTCCAAATATAAAGTTATACATATACTGTACTAATCAAAGCAATAAATGTAGCGCTTCTATTTGTAATTTAATAAAAAGATAACTAGGCTATTGATTTAAATATGTATTGTAAGTGTAGGCTTTTTGCAAAGAACCTCTCTAATGTTTTTTTCATCAGAATCAATATTATTAGAAAGACAACGTAGTGTTCATTCATTGTTGACTCTGATGATATTGAAATAGTATTTTTACCTTTGAAAAACTAATCTACGTATTATACTGTATACGTCTCAAGACCCCTCTTATCCATTACTAACTAAATCGCGAAGTTTTTTTGGCATTGTAATCGTGTGTGCCTTTCCACCTCTCGAAAACTTCCGCCTCCTCAAAGAGTGTCAGAGGCTGAAGGTAAATGTTTTTTTTTATGCACGAAAAGGAAATCAAAGCAAATATTTTGGCCATTTGGAATAAGGTGCTGCGGAATGTATTGAAAGTTCACTCCTTACATTCTCCAACATTTGTGGAAGGAAGGTTTTTTAACCTCAAAGACCGAAGCCCAATCTGCAACTCAGATCAAATTAAATGAAGTGCTTGCTTGCATTTACTCATTTCAATCACAAGGAGAGACATATGTAATGAATGATATTAAAAATTAAAGTCAAATTTCGAATTGTATATAAATTCCTTTTATAATTCCAATTGCGTTATTGATAACAAATCCGTTTTACCATTTCCGTTACTTCGTAAATATTTTAATTTTATAATTTGATTATTGGAATTTCAGCGTGTTCAAATTGTATAACAATTAAGGTTTAATAAAGCAACAGAGTACACGTACCCTTTCGATTAGACTGATAAAGCTAGTAATCGTTAAATAACTTGGTTTCGATTAATATTACCTCAAATTCTTGTGTGAAGGCGGCCTGTTAAATCAGTTATAAGTCACATGATCGTGCTGCCAAAACTTGCTTCTAAAAAACTTAATCAAGATCAAATAACACGATATTGATAAATTTTGGTCAATCAGCGCAGCTCTATAAAGATATAGATCACAATGCAGTTATCCGGCAGGTCCTATGTGCGCACTAGACGTTTTTTGTATATATATTATTCGATCACTTTCTAATCATGTGAAAACTCCATTTTTGATTTTACTGTATTTCTTTTTGCGTAACTCATAAAATTCATATTAGTGAAAGTTAAATTTTTTAGGTTGTGTAACCAACGTAAAAATTAAAAACGCGTTTACGCGTACCTGCTTCTTCTTCATAATCCATATTGTTTTCTTTAGACTTCTTTGAATCTTAAAAAAAATGACCAAATACACAAGAAAAAGAAAATCTACGGTAGGATATTAAAATCTTCAAAGGTTGTTTTTTGTGAGGTTGCTTTTACGAGAAAAACGCACATCGGATAAGCTATTAAAAATAGCTTATTTTAGGCCACAAATTTTTTGTGAGGTTGCGCGTAAAAGCACGTCAGACCCGGTCTTAGGCCACAAAAAATAACTTCAAGGTTTTTTCTTGGTGATAAGGTCTACTAATATTCTGTTGGAGAAATTAGTTATGAACCTTCCTTATCATCAAGAAAGATAAAATTTTACTACTTAATATATACTGTATTATTAACTTCTTTTTTTTTTTTTTTGTACGTACATACTATAGAACGAACGAAAAATTGAAGAAATAAAACAAAAAACGATCGAAAACATAAATCAATTAGCCGATCTGGTTAGTTTTTAATTTTTAATCTACAAAAAATATATATACGAATTTTAATTTATTTTTAATTTAGGCAAAACGATTAAGTGCGTAGTTGTGTCAATACTAGTGATGGAAGTGCAATGTCGTAATTTGTCGTAATTATAATGAATTACGACATTTTTTTGCTGTAATTCATTATAATTACGACAAACTACGACATTGCGCTTCTATCACTAGTCAGTACTGAAATTTGATGTACCATTTTATCCTTAATTTACATAATTTACAGACTCATCTCAAGTAAGAAAAAAAGGTAAACCCGCTAAGTTTTTTTCAATTATTATTAAAGTAGTATTATTTATTTGTTTATTTAAATCTTTATCGGTTACATTATTAGAATCACCCGAAGACGTTGAAGTCAGCAGTTCTGATGGAAAGTATGGGGAGCCCTAATTTCCCCCACCAGTTGTGATTGGTCGCATGAGATACCATCTTCAATTGGGTAAACTAGATCACGCCACCGCAGCCACAAAATCAAAAACATCGTTAGTTTTTCTTCAAAAAAAAAAAAATTCAAATAATTATTAGCGAAAGTTTATGCACTTTCAAAATTCTTGTAGTAAATAAGTGCTTCTGACAAAATTTTATAAAGTCTTTTGTTCGGTACTTTATTCTCAAGAGAATAAAATTTTGCTGAGACCTAGCTTGTAATTTT